TGCACTTCGTTGGGGCGCAGCGTGCTGGCGCTGGCTGCAGAACTTCTCCTAACAACTAGAAGTCCACCGGAGCACATCTTTGCCCTGACTACGAAGCAGTGCTAAACGTTTTAGAACTGCGGCGATATTGTCCTTTTTTTAATACGATATGTGCGAAATTAAAAAAAAATGCTTGGATGCATATACTGGAATGCCAACCTATGTGGTGTAAGGTGGCTCATGGAAAGAGGCAACGCTAGATGAAATAGCAAAGTTCATTGGGTATCTTATTTATAGAGGGATTATTGACATCACGGGCATCCATCTACTTCTATAAGAACACCAGGAGACACAACAAAAATTTACTGAGAAAAAGTGTACAAGTACACTTGTGTCTCACAAAAAATCATGCAATGCTTCACCGCATGGCACGAGCAATGAAGCAGCACCTCGGTTCTGATTTTTTGTGTCTATGTGATGAGAAACATTTTTGTACAACACTGATCATTTTAAAACTTTCATCATCATTAAACTTTTCCTGGGTCATTTATCTGCAAAATGTATATTCTGAATTTTCTTTGTTTTGAATATTTTTGCCTGTATAGTGTTCTTTAATGCACTGTTTACCAGCTTGTGACCAAAAATTTCACATTGTTCACTTTTTTATTCATTCTAAAATATTTTTGTTGCTCTACAACATACATTTATTGGAAAGAGCATTTTGTTGTGCACAGTATGGAATGCTGCAGTGCGTGATGGAATACTTTTCCAACTGGCAAAAACAATCTTCCCAAGACATATGAAAAATAACCATTTTCGCACGGTAACGAAAGAGTTAAAGGACTGATAACTAATATGTTTTGACCCTGTTTTTTCCAGCGCGACAGAAAGCTTACCCTACGTAGTGTTCGTAGCTGCAGTAGTTAATCCAAAAAACACCTAGTAATTTTTATAAGAAGCATTTTTTTATCTGAAAAGCTTTGAACATGAATGTGTCTTTTTGTGCAGCAATTCTGAAGATTGATAGAAATTCTGGTAGCCCTTCTAGCGACTCGTGCATGCTGCTGTTCTGCTTTCACAAGAGTTCCTGAAACTATACTTAACCATGCTTATTTTAAGCCTTACGACTATTTTTGAAAATAATAAGCCGTTACAATGAGATTATGTGGCTTAGCACAGCTTCCCTGTATTTGTACCGACACAGGTGCGTCAACCAAAGGTTGGTGCACCTGTGTCGTAGATGGCTAGTCCCATTGTCATTACTCTCTTGATATGATCCAAGCCAAGTCACCGAAATTGTCACTGCGCATATGCGTGCATGGCCATGCCGAGTAGCAGTACATGTTATTTCTGAGTCTAAGTGTAAGTAGAAAAACCACGTCACTCCCAAATGTTAGCGACCTGAAACTGCATGCACGGTTTTATGAATCCGCAGAAAAGTTGCTAAGGACGCTGCTGACAAGCATGGGATAATTATCTCATGCGAAGGTGGTGCCACTTAACTGTGTACTAATAGTGCAGCCTTATATGTACATTTTTTATGGAGTACTATCTGTTACTCTAAAGAAGCAAATGATATTTCAATACTAGGACGAAAATTGCTGACCGCTTACACCAGACTACAGCCACGAGACAGGCCACACCGAATAATTGAAGTTTCTGCCATTAAATGGCACCACAGGCCATTTTTCACAGTTTTTCATTTAGAAATCGAAATATAACTGTACTTCTCATGAGAAAAACAGAGTTAGTTTGAGTTACTATGAGGGTCAATCTTTTCATCAGGAGAGTCGTCTCGTTTCATGTTCTGGGCAGTTGTTGGTCCCTTTAATAACCATTTAAAAGCACTGCATGGAGAAACTTGTGAAAGTAATGTGAGAACAACATTTAAAAATTGTGACATATGTAGCCAACATTTTGAAGTACTTGTTGAGCTTGATTTCAGGAGTGAGACTGGCAGAACAGCAGGTTAGTTTACCATCATGTTATACAATATGACCAATGAAAATTGAGACATGCAAAACTGCATGAAGTACTTTCAGCTAGACAAGTATTATGAATGTACGGAAGACATACATAAAAGTACATGAGCATTTGCGTGTACCCATCAAAGTGACTCACTAACGGTCAGAACATGTCACAGGACATTGTTGAAAGAAAAAAAAGAGTGTGAATTAATAGTGGCAGCATCACGCGTTCTTTTTGTGATTTCAGCAGGATTTGAATTATTAAACTGCTTTGGAAGTAATAAAAACCGGCATGTCCGGTCACCTGGTGCTAAGTCGTGGTAAAGCGCGAATGAGTCGTTTGGGCTGTTCGGACTACCATTTGTGCTGAATATTAATTCATAGAGGAACTTGTAGATGGGCTAGTTGGGGTGCATTAATTTGTGCACACCAGAAGAAAGAAGCAGGAAGTTCGGGCATCGTTATGAAATCCTTAAATCTTTCCAGTTCATTGTGCTATGATTCACAAAAGTTATCAGCATATGCCTAGGACAGCTTTATCCCTGGGTTGACTGAAAAGTCAGGAAACTTAATCTATGTTACATTATGTGTATTTGATGACACTAAGAACACATGTCAATCAATGATACACTGCCTATTTTGTTTTAGCATCTTCTGCCAACTCACAGGAAGCTGCAGTGTTCCTTATATATAAAAGCACCTGTATTGATTTAGTAGGAAATTTAAAAAGGTGCTTATTTATAGCTACATTGGAAATGAATGTGATATCAGGCAAGGGCTGTTCCAAACAGCGAAACAAGTGGAAGTCTGATGGTGCAAGGTCAGGCAATTATGGTGGGTGTGGCAACACAGTTCAGTTCAGTTTTATTTTTTTAAATGCTCTTATTCAGGGGGTGTTACATAAGCAGTGAGATTACAGGCAAAAGTCAAGAGAAATGCTTCGATTAACATTGCAGATGATCAGTGACGCGTTCTTGAAAAGTAGATGATGAGGTGACGTTGACCATGTCATAGGGCAGGCCATTCCAGTCTGAAGCACATCCAAACCTCAATGACAAATGACCAAACTCGCGTGTGGTTTCACGTGATGATGATCGAACACTCTCCTTTTCGGACTGAAATTCCTGCCATTTCTAAATGATGGCTTGATTCAAACTGTTCAATTGTTGACAGTATATTTAAGAACTTTTTGTCTCATTCCTAAGGCGAAGTTTGAAACAAATGCCTCCTTCGAAGGGCCCCTGGCCTGGTCTGCCAATAACTGGGCATACAAACAAAATGCTTACATTGTGCACTCATGATTGTCGGCCAAGGATTACACGACTACGCACTGCGAAAAATGCTCAAATTTCGAACTGCACGGGTAGTGACGTTGGTAAGAGTGCTGTGCCGAGCCCCTAAGATAGGTTCCATGACCTCCTTGCCTGCCAGACATAACAGTAGGCGAGGAGGACGTGGAGCTGCTCTAAACTGCAGAGAAAGGAGGAGTGCGTCTCACCAACACTAGGCAATGTGACGACCAACCCACTGTTTTACGGACAATGAAGAGTATTTTGCATATGTCTATCCATGCCATCAGATGAACTGCCGAGTTCATCAAGAATCCTCTTATTGAGCATGCATATGTGTCCAGTTTTGAGGTGAATGTGAACAGTTGAATGATGGATGTTCAACATTTCTGCAATTTCTCATGTCGTTTAACAATGGTCTGACTTAACAAATGCCTTTATTTAGTAATGGCCAAAATATTCATGGCATTTCTAACAACCCAATAGCATACAAATTTTTTATATAATGAACATCGTTCCTAGCTGCGGCACTGTCTTTCCACTTATTTCTTCTATTGCTGGGCACATTATTTGCTCAAAAGAGCAGGCTTCATTGTTGGCACTACGCAACTCATTGAATTGGCCGACTTCTATGCCTGGGGGTAAGCACACATTACACAAGCAAGGTGTGATATGTGGGACAGGTATTTATTTCTAATATAAAAAGGTTATTGGACAGATCTTTTATTTTCGCAGATTACCAAGCATACACTACAATCAGTTTGTAAGCCTCTGCTTATATATGCAGATGTTAACTATCAGATGATTCAACTAAGCACTGTTTTAATCATTAAAAAAAGAAGCCTATTCATACACACGCAGAGTTTCGATCTTTAGTACACCAAAGGTTACAAATATAATCATGTTACAGCAAGACAAGCTGGACAAATGACTTCAGATATTGAAGACGTGGTGTACATCTAAAATAATCTAGGAAATTCTGGAAACTAACAATTGTTTTGTTACAACTAGGGTCATAAAATAGATAAGAAATTTAGTTATGAGCATCTGCATATAAGACAACCACAAATGTTGCCAAGGAAGCAACACTCATCATTATGAACTCAAAGGTCGTAAACAAAAAAAGATACTTAAAAAAACAAAAATAAGAACATTTCTTACATCACTCTTTTAATATTCAAGGCCTTGCAACATTTGTGTTATTTAGAAAACAACAGAAAAAATAAAGATATAACAGATAACAAATATACCGGTTATTAGGCAACAAGAAAACAATATATATATATTTGAAAGAAAGGCTGCAAAGATTGCAAAATATGAAGTGATGAACTTAAATTTTAAAATCCTTCTTTAATAGCAACAAGCATGTGTCGGCCTCCCGGCACTCACTAAGCATAGTTTATTATCACAGCAGAAGTTTGTTATTGACAGAGCAGTTAGACACATACGGACGATTACAATGCAGCAAATAGACTTCACAAAATGTAACTTGCACTGCTTTCTACCCACAACAGATAACGGCAATTGAGATGCAGCAATGCCTTTTCTTTGGAACGAAGCGTAAGCATATTTCATGAAGCTAGAATACTTGACGCCAAGTGATGCTTAGCAGACATGGTTGAGGCATTAGAGAGTGTTAAATAAAGACTCGGCATACTTCAACGAAGCTAAGCTGTCAGACTAGATGAAATGTAGCACAGAGTTGGCGGCAGTTCTCATTAAGATGTTGGCAGCTCAGGAAGATCTGTGTGTGCAGAAGACTTACGATCCAGCCTCCTGCTCCTGTCCCAATGCATCAAGGAAGAGCCCCATCGGAGTCTTCTTCAGTCCAATGGTCTCAATCTTGTTTGTCAGCTTGTTCTTGATGTTACGCAGACGCATCGATGCATGAATGAACACCACTGGAAGTCATCACATATTAGAGTATAAATTTTGACATGTAATGATGTCTTTTGAGCTATCCAAGTTCATTCTACAGAAATTTCATCAAACATACACTTATTCCTTAAGAAACCAGTGTACGTGCAGCTGCATAATGTCAAACCAAGAAATCATGTACGGAATTTTGTAGGTCTGACATTACACTGACACTGTGCTGTTCGAGCAATGATTGTTGCATACAATGACCCTCCATCCGATGGTAGTTATTTGTTAGGAGACTAAACTATCAGTAGTTACAAATAATGAAGAACACAAGAAATATGGCTGAGGATACATGAATAAGTAGTGTATATATTGGACCAAAATGAGCAAATTTAAGACAGAACTTTCCTATACTTACACACTATCGGCAAGAGGATGCCAAACAAAAACACCACCACGGAACCGAGAACGTGGACAATGAAGTAGCCACCTAGAATTAAGAAAATATTCCATTCAGCGATTTGGATGGTTGGACACACTCACAATTCATGGCGTTTACATACCTGTCAGAATAATCAGGATGCTGAGGATCGGGTGGTCTCTTTTGAACTTTATTGCAGCTCTTTTGGAGTTGGTGATATAATAGAAGAGACCAAAGGCTACGGTGACTGCAAGCATTCCACACAACATTTTAGACGGGTGCAGGATCCTGTGGCGGAGAACAGAATGATGCCAGAAACTGTAGGCTGGCATGTACGCATTTTGTGCAGAATTGTCTTTGATCAACAGTGATCGAAACGGCGTGTCTCTGGATCTGATACTGAAATATCCAAAATCCAAGTCTCGGATATGGCAGTTGTTATTCTGACGAAGACCTTTTGCCGCGGCGACACATCATCATCAGCCTGTCCACGCCCACTGCAGGGCAAGGGCCTCTCCCATGACCTGCCAATCAACCCGGTCTTGTGCTTTCCGTTGCCCCGTTATCCCTGCGAACTTTTAAATTTTATCGGCCCACCTAACTTTCCGTCTCCCCTTCGAGCGTTTGCCTTCTCAGGGAATCTATTAAGTTACCCTTAAAGACCAGCAGTTATCTTGTATACGTGCTACATGCCCGGCCCATTTCTTCTTGATTTCAACTACGATATCCTTAACCCTGGTTTGTTCCCTGACCTACTCTGCCCTCTTCTGGTCTCTTAAGGTTACACCTATCGTTTTCCTTTCTATTGCTAGCTGCGTCATCCTCAATTTAAGCTGAACCTTCTTTACAAGCCTCCAGGTTTCTGCTCCGTACGTAAGTACCGGAAAGATGCAGCTGTTATATACCTTCTTCTTGAGGGTTAGTGGCAGATTATCATTCATGATTTGCCCCGCCGCAGTGGTCTAGTGGCCAAGGTACTCTCTGCTGCTGACCCGCAGGTCATGGGATCGAATCCTGGCTGCGGCGGCTGCATTTCCAATGGAGGCGGAAATGTTGTAGGCCCGTGTACTCAGATTTGGGTGCACGTTAAAGAACCCCAGGTGGTCGCAATTTCCGGAGCCCTCCACTACGGCGTCTCTCATAATCATATGGTGGTTTTGGGACGTTAAACCCCACATATCTATCTATCTACCATTCATAATTTCAGAATGCTTGCCGAACATGATCCACCCCATCCTTATTCTTACTAGTATTTCACTCTCATGGTTCGGCTCCACGGTTACTACCTATCCTAAGTAGACATATTCCTTTACAAACTTCAAGGCATCTCTCCACCTACTGCAAAGTGCTGTTTTCTGCCGAGACTATTGCACATTACTTTAGTTTTATGCATATTAATTTTCAGACCTACTTTTTTGCTTTCCATGTCCAGTTCAGTAATCATGCACTGTAATTCGTCCCCCGAGTTACTAATCAAGGCAATGTCATCAGTGAATCGCAGGTTACTATGATACTCTCCATTAACTCTTATTTCTAAGTATTCCCAATCTAAGGTCCAGGAAACTTCCTGTAAACACGCGGTGAATAGCATTGGAGAGATTGTGTCTCTCTCGCTTACACCCTTGCTCTATTGGGATTCTGTTCCTTTCTTTATGGATAACTATGGTGGCTGTGGATCCACTGTAGATTTCTTCCAGTATGTTTTTGTAGGGTTCTTTGATGTCATGATTCCACAGTACCTGTATTACTGTATCTCAACTGAGTCAAACGCCTTCTCGTAATCTATGAAGGCTATGTAAAAGGGTTGTTTGTATTACACGCATTTCTCTATTACCTGATTGACTCGAGGCATGTTTTTGTTGCTGCTGTTTAGATGGTGACGCACCCTTTAGACACGCAACGCATGGCATCCGATCAGGATTGCCGTTGTCGACCGTAACTGGTTCCTTTACGCAATAAAATCAATTGAGGTCAAAATAGACCATGTGACTACGGTAATAATTGCATGCGCTTCCTTTCTCTCTCTCTTTTCTGTTTCTCCATCAAGACAACCTACATTGGTCTTTAGGATACAACGTCTTCAGCGACAAAACGTATGTGCTTATTTACGAGTAAAATGACGCAGGCCACGACGAATGCTTAATACGGGGACGTTGAGAGATCGTGAACCACCTGTGTTATGGTTAGCCGCATTTCTACGTCTCCATCCGCATGCGCGGTTACGCTTCACATGACATGACACGCGGGAAGGGCTTCCAGTATTGAGAGCAACTGCACTTCGTCGGAGAGCCAAAGGCCCGCAAATAGCATTATGGGGCTTTATTATGCAACATCTACGGCGCTTCGCCGAGCACGCGAACGCAGCTGTTCGTGCTAAAATTAGGGTGGTGTCAACCAGCCGAGACTCACCCAACGGCGAGGAATACGAGGATGGCAAGGACGAAATAGTTGGACTGGTAGTACAGGAGATTGTTGACGACTCTGTTTCCCCATTTTTCGAGATCCTTAATGTTTGGAAGCTGGAAGCGGGCTGATTCGAGCAGAAAATCATCTAAGCTTCGAAGCGGTGCGACTTCCACTTCGTTGGCCATCTTGATGCAATGGAAGAGAACAGCCAAAATCGCTCGAGGCGCCCTCTGCAGGTGGTTCTTCTTGTTTCGGTTTCTCAACTCGCGTACGATGCATGGCGTTTATCTGTACTAAAAAAAAAAAAAAAAACAAATGTGGACGCAAATAACTTTGCCACCTGTCTGCATAAAAATGTCCCGCAGTAGCCGCGCCCAATTTTCACGCAGTACAGTGAAATAAAGCGTGCAAATTACGATTTTTTTTTGCTCACAGAAGTAAAAGTTGACACAGATGTGAATAAGTGGATCCGTTCGTGTGTATCAGTTGGCTTGCCACTTTTCTTTAATATTACGGTTGCGTTAAGTTTTGGTCTGACGGCCCTTTTTGCACGTTCGTTTTCGCTATCGGGGTGGTCTACCGTACTTCGTGACTCCTTTTTCATCGAACAACTACGCTGACGTTAATAATTAAAAAAAAAAAAACTTAAATGCTCCAGTGTTAATAGATCACCTTCATGCAACTTTAACAGAGGGACATGAGGACACCTCGTTGTAGAATGAATGAATATGAAAAGTTCTTTATTGAAAAAAAATGGGGGGGGGGGGGGGGGGTAAGCGCAATGACCTTTGCGGGTGAAAGCGGCACTTTCGAACTACAGTACCATTTCACGGTGTCGTATGTTTTGCACTTATTGTATTCACCATATCACTGGTATTGAGGCAGTATGCGGTCTGTACTGTGGCTTGTCGGACCCCCTAAATCACTTTGATCAGGCCGCTCTGACTTCCGAATCGCGCAAATAAAAACTGCGTATCCGGGTTGATCTGTATAAGGAGCGCTTCACGCTAATTTGTGGAGTGCAAAGCTTGCATGGCCATTCACCCTTTAGGAACACTGCCACCATAAGTGGTCAAGGTCTGCACGGTAGCGCAGCCCACCGTGATTGCACGTCATTTGCCTCATAACTCGAGCAAAATTTCTGTGATGAAAAGTAGATTCTTAAGCCTGAAAACCTGATGAAATAGCTCTTGGGCACTTCATGCGTCAACACCAATGAGGACACGGTTTCCGTGAATGTGATTACGACTTCAGCAACCTCAGTGTCAAAAGTACATCTGTCCTTGTTCGTCGACAAATCTGAACACACGCACAACGTCAGGGTGATCTTTGAGGCGATCGAGAAGAGCCTGGTCACGATAGGCTAGGTACAAGTCGCTTAAGCAGGGAGCAATACAAGACCCAGTACAGATTTCATTTTTTTGTTTAACAACAGTGCCATCCCATAAGGCGTAAGTGGAATTAACATATAATAAAGAGGTTCCAAAAATTGGTCGCATGTCAGACCGGAAGCGTTTTGAAAACGCACTGCTCCAAACTTATCTAAGCAACGGCCTACACATGTCATGAAGCCGTCTAGAGGGAGAGAATAGTAAGATCCTTCAGATCACTAGAGAAGGGCACAAGATTTCTGCCATGATTGTTTTTAAAGAAATCAACATGTTCAGAGTTGCTTACTGGAAACGGGTCTTCACTTGCAAAAGTTTCAAGAACGTTTTTAAGAACACTGCTACATGTTTCTCCCAGATTGCGTTTTCCGACACTATCACATGGAACGGGCAATATGGTCTGCGCGTTTTCGCCGAAAAGAACACATCAAGGTGATTTTTCGCGCGCTTTGCAATGGATCGAAACAAATGATTGAGCTTGAAGCTTTTACACAAGTTTTTAGCGTCGTGGAAGAAATAGCTTCATTAGCTTTTGAATTATACGTAGTCCTGTCTAAAACAACAAATCCGTCTTCCTCGTCCGCAGGAACAAGTGCGAGCGAATGCTCCTTCATATACTTAACGATTCTGAACGAGGAAACCTTTCCTGCAAGGGAACGCACACCCACTCCTTCTGATACACACATTTCCGACTCGGCGTCAGCCACTCGCTTGGATAGCACCATTTCCAACAGTTCGGGAGCAGATTTCTTGGGTTCAACAGCGAACTTTGACCCAAGTTCGAGTACCTTGCGAGTGTTGTCTGGCAGCGTATAGTGTTGCCGATGATTTTCACCTGGCTTGTCGACACAGGGGTTTTCTTTCGAAGGCTCTGCCTCAGGTCAAAACGTGATTCCAGAGGAATCCTGTCGTCGATGATCCATGAAAACTGTGCCCAAGCGTTTTCAGATCCTGCAGTCTTCAGGAGCAGTCTCAAGATATCTCTGTACATTTGCACTTGTCGCTGCCGTTCGGAGCGCATTAGTTTGCAGATAAGAATGCCGTGGCTGGTTGAAGGCTGGCAGCACCCAAATAAAACGAGAACTTCGGGTGCCAGAATTTTGTGACGGACTCAGAGCCGAGCACGCGAGCTATGTAAGCTGCCGTTGCAAGGAGCGGCACTGTGCAGCAAGGCTCAACGAAGTATAGACGAAGGAATGCCCGATGTACTAAAAATAAACATTCTCCGCCCATGCAAAGCTCTTAAAATGCGCCATTGTACAATCCTGTTTCAGTAACTCCCTTAAAAAGTCCTGTAACCACAAGGTTGAAGGCAGTTTTCTGAACCAAGCCAAGCGCTTGGCAGGGTCAGGTTACCCAGTACGTGTGCTGAGCTCGGTCGCAGACGGCTTGAGCAGAAAGCTAAAACACTAATAAAAAGGCAATAGTGGTCGAACAGCAAAAAATTTCTGTGGTTTTGTGGTTCTTAGGGGGAAAAGAAGAGAAAAGTGAGCCCCTGACTGTCTGCATCAGGTGCGACACCTCAACAGTAGCTCACCACGGATGGGGGCAAGGAGGGATTAAAAAAATAGAATTAATATATATATATATATATATATATATATATATATATATATATATATATATATATATATATATATATATATATATATATATATATATATATATATATATATATATTGTGGGAATTGAGGCTAGCCCGCTGCCTTTGCGCGGGCTTTGCCGCCTTTTCTGCCGTTCTCATGTCCCGACATGTCTGCCCTCCTTCGCTGTCTGCCGTGGTGGGAGAGCGGAATGACGTTTAACTCCCTCACCCGGTAGCGGATGTTGACGGTGGCGCCGCGCGAGGGGACTCCCAAGAGAGGTTTTCGCGCGCTGCGTCGGGAGCGGTCAGATACTCTCCGGGACAGCAAACGGTGAGCACGTTATCTTTTCGTCCGTCGACTCCCGTCAGTCGGGGGCTCGTCGGACTTCGCTGACGGCGCCTCGCGCCCAAGGCGAACGCTCACCCGCTGTTTGCCCCGCTGCGTACGCACGGCCGAAGGGCGGTACGGTGTCCTAGTGCGTGGCCTCGCTACGCCGACCCGTCTCCCTTCGAAGCCAACGCGAGCGCCTTTGCCCTCGCTCGAGCAACCGGGCCTTTGCTCCGGTGTCTCCGTGGATCAGCTTTACCGCGGAGACGTGCTCGTGGCACCCCTGTGTAGTACTTTGTGCCCGTGGCGTGGATAAGCCTACTTGCTTTCCCGCCGCGCCTATTTGCAACGGGCTGTACTGCGTTGGTGTTGCCACAATAAAGTGTTGCGACTTGAGCAGTATCGTGTTTCCCGCCACGGCGACGGTTAACGCGTGCCCTGCGGCTCGCTAAGACCGGACCCACGCTGGTGGCCGTACTCCTTCGGGATACGTGTACACCACAATATATATATATATATATATATATATATATATATATATATATATATATATATATATATATATATATATATATATATATATAGAGAGAGAGAGAGAGAGAGAGAGAGAGAGAGAGAGAGAGCGAGGCGCAGGGACAGCGAGTGACGGAAGTAAAGAGAAGATAAGAAAGATGGACATGGTCGCAGGAGTCCGAGGACGGGGCACCACTCGACGAGAGCTCTTGTCGGCGTCAGGAGATGGCGTATACGGCGAGCCAGTCGGCCAGAGCTGCACTGTCGTCGGAGATCGCGAGGGCACAACCGGTCGGCACGGAATCCGGCGAACAAGTTCCCTACAGCAAAAAAAAAAAAAAAGTGGCCGTCGTGCCATACTTGCATGATAATCTCAGAAAGATCGCGGGAAAGTCAGGGTTGGATGTGATCTTTTGAGCTGCCGAACGTTTACAAAATTTGTGTCGACGCGTTAATTCACATTGTAAAAGTGCAGACGCCTGCCTCGTTAATCATAGAACACTTTTTTGTAAACGATGTTCGCAACGTTGTTTATGCTATTCTGCTTTCCTGTGGAAGAACCTATGTTGGTCAGACCGGCCGATGTATCAATCAGAGATTGAAGGAACATCATTATAATGTCACGAAAGCAATCTCAGGTCATTTGGGAATTGATTGCCAAGATTGTGGATGCAAGCCCCTGTTCGAAAAAAAACCGGAAATCTTGTTTAAGGCACCTGGCGAAATTACAAAGAAGATTATAAAGGCATATGAAATTGCGAGATCATCAGACATGTGTGTTAACCAACCACCAGTATCGCTTTCTCAAAAAGAGCGTCATTACCTTGATTTGACAATTTTCTCTAGGTCGCGATAATGCAATGTACACGTGCTCAGTTCAACGATGTGATTCCGCGAAATGTTCTTTATGTTCATTTCATCTCCGCTCGCTTGGTATATATCTGTCGCTTCGTGCAAAAATAAAAGGCCAGTTAATGTAGCGCTCTGTCCGTGCTAGTCTCTTCTACGTCCTTGTCTGTTCGCGCTTACTCACACTTCATGGATGAAAAGCAACTAGCCCACCAACGTGTTTTGGCAAGGAGTTCGGCACGAATAGGGAAGCTGGCACCTGCAGGTAGGCCCCACTGTACTCGGCGGTCTGCGCGCAAATGCGTACTGTACATGTTTGGCCGTCGGAGCGTCCATGTATGTGTCGGTGGTATCTAAGCTCGCTTCCCTGAGTTGTCGCGTGGCAAGAAACTGGCGGGCAGTATCATTGTGGCACTCTCAAATTATGACAGATAGATTGCCACTATCCCTCAAGAGAAAGGTATATAACAGCTGTATCTTGCCGGTACTTAGCTACGGAGAAGAAACCTGGAGACTTACAAAGAGGGTTCAGCTTAAATTGAGGACG